TACAATACCAATGCATTCGCTTCATCCGGATTATCCAAATATAAAGAAAGAATTCAGGAGCATTTTTGTATGTTTTCGACCCGGAATGGCAAACTTCTCTCTTTTGGCCTCGATCGGTTTAGTTAGCTGCAGCTCACCTTTTATAAAAGAGTTGCACCAAAGGAAAGGAGGTTTTATTCTCTTTTTAGCTACGATACAGTGAAACGACCTAATTACAAAATGATACAACGTGACTGCTAAAGCTTTGGAAGCTATAGTTTCAGGGATTAATTAAAAATACTAGTTAAAAGCAGTTTTAATTCACATATTTGCTAATACAAACGGAATTTTCTCGAGTCAAATAATAATAGTAGTATATATATAGTCTTATTGCCTTTGCCATCTGATAAAAAAAAACACAAAATAGGGTTTTTGACATCAAGCAAAATAAAAAAAAGTTTTTGGCAAAAACACATTAACATAAGAAATAAACTATACGTACTATTGTGACCGAAAGTTACGTTATATTTATACAGGATTTTACCACAAAATGAAAGGTTATAACGAGAACTCGCTACTGACTGAATCTTTCTAAGTCATTATTTCACTGACGACGAACCTAGTAAAACACTATACATAAGTACGAACCACACGCGACAAATATAAAAATATAGGCAAATTACATAAATTTATGTTCAAACAAATGACGAAAAGAAACTTCGAAGATCACATTGACCTTTTGCACAAAACTTCAACTGAGTACTTGTCCTTCACTCCTTTCCAAAAAGGTTAAGTTATATGACATATGTGTACATATCTTATTTGTATGTGTGTGAGTGTGTGTGTAGAAGGAAAAGGGAGTATTTGTGCCAGTTTCTAAGAAGGGTCTATTCATCTCGAAAATAGTTACCTATACAATCGTGTTTACGTAATGTATCGCCTATTTTCCCTGTATTTCGGAGAAAAACATTGATAGTTCTGATGCAACAACTTAGAAATAACTTATTATGTCAATTAATTTAAGCACAAATTAGTAGGTTATTTCGTAAAATTTTCTACCTCATACATTTTAACAAGCAATTCTTTTAAAAATACACATACGATTTCGATAAAATTTGCCAAAAAAATAACCAAAGTAGGTTTAATTTTCAGAAAATACATAACCCAGAGATAACGTTTTGAGCTCGCTTATCTAAGTAGGTACTGAAATATCAGCTATATTGATATATCCAACATCTCAATGATCATGAAGCATTAAGAATGTTGAGTTTAAAGGAACATAAAATCTGTTCAATAAAAACAGCAAGTATTTACTGGAATATGAAACCTAAACAATGTATCCAACAACAATTAATGGATCACAATTCCAAATTATCAATGCACCTTCAATCGTATCACGCAAAACATTAATTTCACTATTTACAAAGCCCCAATTAATTTAACGATCACAGCACCCTTCCACAGAACCGAAGCAAATCCATATCGAACACACAAATATATCTTTATACAGTCATACTCATACAGTTCTTGCTCCCGGCGTCGTCTGGCAAAGTTTGATATTGGCCAGTATTTACCACCCCGTCCCTTATTCAAACAGAGCATAAAACATCCCGCCGTCTGCCACATAGACTAGAACCCTTGCCCTATTCAATAAGCTATTTGATTCCCGGAAATTGTAACATTGAAACTCCTATTAGAATGTGTTCAGATATTTCACGGAATGACGAAGTCGTTTCGAGTGCCTACGTATTTCTTCAATTCGTGTGTCGAAATAACTTTTGAATTTCCCGACGTGTTCGGTTGTAAATGTTTATTATCTGTGGTGGAAATAAAATGAGATATCTGTAATGCGGTGACGCAATTTCAAAAGCCAATACGATTTTTACTTGAATTGGAATCCGATAGTGTTGTACAACGTACACACAAATAAAACGAGGTTGTTAATCGAGACAGTTGCAAACCTAATAAAGTGAAAATCTTTTTGAACAATAAATTTTCGTCGTTCCAATGGCAGTATTGAGTTGACTTCGCTCGAACAAAGAGAAAAATTAATCGATTAACGATCAACATTTGGAATAAAACGTCCCAATCAGGTAGTAAAAGAAAGGGAAACTTTGTAAGCCGTCGTAAAACGACATTTTGTTTTAATTCCTCTTCTGATTCAAGCGGGAGTTGAATAAAATTTTAAACGAAGTGCGTCCTTTGAAGTGGGTTGGTCGGTTTGTGCCCGCCCCGCGCAACCCTCTGCACCGCATCCCAGGTAACATTCGCTGGGTACAATTTCTCCATGCGGTGCGCTACGAACATGGAAATTTTTGAAATAAACAAACAACCGAGTTCGTTATGGAAACTTGTTTTCTAAACCGCTGCAGCGGCGGGGTGACACGTAGTTTGATGCATCGTTTGTTCTCAACACAAAACGTCGTGTTCTATCTAACGTTCATTAAAACTATTAAATTGGTCTCGAGTTTCATGTTTCCCTCCGAGTTTTTACGAAAAATATATATTAATTAACAGTTATAAAAGTACAATATATGTATCATAAAATTAATTTAGTAATTACACGGCTTGTCACGTGTACTAACTGCTAAATGCTCAACTACTTTCAAATCTAAACGGAAGTCTTATTCGTGAACAGCGTTAGATCAGTATAAATGTTATTAATTTTATTAAAATAATATGATGTGTTTAACTTTAAATAGTTAAGAAATATTTGTGGCATTTGCGAGCAGGAGCTACGTAAAGCGTTTGAACCACAATTCACATATTCAGTATTGTTTAAAACAAACAAAATGTGAACGAATTTATGTATTCTCCATAATCCAAAAGTAAATAATATAGTGTTTGTCGGCAATAACATGTTAGTCAGCCATAACATTAAAGACGACAGCAAAAAGTTTCTCAGACAATTATCAAAATACAATCCATCAATATAGCCAAACATACAAATGGATAGCAACAGCTAGAAATATACTTATAATTGCAAAGTTTGCCTCTTAATAGTTAGCAGTCAAGTCAGAGTCGAGCGTTCTGATAGAAAGCTCGTTAGTATGTATAGTCCGGACAAGGAAACCCGACGCGAGCCGGAGAGCAGGGATTATTGGCCTCCGTTTCGCTCGACTATAGATAAAGGAATACCTTCCGTAGGATGTGCAGTGAATTGCTTTAAAACTAAAAGTGGTCTGAACGATTGCAGGTACGCAAGAACTGCAGGAAACGAGCAATATTAAGTGCTAGCTGTGAACGTAGGAATTCTTTGTTTGACTTGATTTTTTATGACTTGCCTTTGGTTTTTTGTAAGGGAAAAATTTCATTTTTAGTAAATTTTATTTGAAGTCGGTGAATATTATTGACGTAACTGGTGTTTTGATAACAATGATATCATGATCATATAGCAAACTAGCGACGCACTCCAGTTTCGCACGGGTGCGATGCTGATACTGATTTCCTTTACTATTTAATAGATGATTTATACATATACATATAAACAAATCCGTTGCGTAGTTTTAAAGATTCAAGCATTCATAAGTATATAGGGAAAGAGAAAGCTACCTTGTTGTATACTAAATAGTGATAATGCAACTGAGAACAATTTATACCATACTAGGTTGTTTAATTCTTATTTTGTAGGTATTTAGTGATCTATAAAACGGTTGTTAGTCGTAATTCTCATTCCCAGTTATTCAAATAGGTATTTCAATGCTATTTTTCTCATCGTGGAGGTTCAGCCCTTACCAAATCAAACCCGTAATTGAACCGAAAGAGTGACTTCTTTGCTGGAGCATAACAATTTCACTTCACATCGGTGTTAAAGAAGAATGTGACATATTACAGACAGAGTTAAGGTTTAAAACCACTTAAATGGATATGGAAACGTGTTAAGGTTTCATAACAGTCAACACTGATTGATATAAAAAGGAAATGTATCAATTAATTTTTAAGATCTATTAAGTAAGAGAATTTTCAGTAAACTTAAAGGTACAATTATTAAACATGCTGCCCTTATTAGCGTTTATTTGAATTGATTAAGTCGAGGTTCCTCATTCTAAAATTCTCAGTATAAATTCGTCACTGCTTCTTATGTTCGTATAGTGATTTCGATTTTATGGAAAAAACAAGCCATATGTTTTTGTTTATTAGGTACACTTAGACATGATACTAAGTTTGTAGTTCATTATTAATATACCAGTATGTTGCAATCTCTTATAGGTCACCACAATATAAATAAAACTATTTAAATTTAGTTCGATTATAGTAAAATTATTAATATTTAAAACTTCAACTATAAACTCCTAGACTTGTGTATATTATAATAAATTTTTAATTGGTAAAATGCTGTTGGATGAAGCTCGAGCTTAATGTTTGAAAATGGAACGAATTCTGCTGCCTTGTTTAATGATTTGTGAACATATTGCGAAGATCCCCGCAGTTAATTGTTTGAGCCGACACACAGTGACCAGGCGTAATCAATCAATCACAGTGCGTTCGTTATCTTAACGAAAAAGAATCATTTTTCCTACTACGTAATCAGGGAAACATTTTATAAAAGAAGAAAGTTTTCGATTTCATTTAATTAGTTCTTATGTACTATATTTATTATTGAACGCTGACCTCAAATCAGAGTCAGAAATCAGTTGTACCGACCTCAATTATCCAAACTAATATTATAAATGTGAAAGTAACTCTGTCTGTCTGTCTGTCTGTTTTTTCTTCACGCCTTAACTACTGAACCTATTTGTGTGAAATTTGGTACAAAAATAGTTTGGGACGGGAAAAAGGACATTGGATAGTTTTTAAAGCAAAAATCTGCAGTAAGTCACTATTCCACGCGAAAAAAGTCGCGGACAAAAGCTAATATATTATTAATATTGAAAATATAACTTACTTAATCAATTTCATTTTAGACAAGGTAGTGAGATTATGAAGTTATCCTTACACAAATAAAGAGTTTTTAATTAGGAAAATGATATAAGTGCTAGAATCAAACACATATTTGATAAGGCCTGAAATTCGATGCTTACCTCCATCTTGTAAGGCGCCTGTCCTGACATCCACCACCAGCAAAGCCACGATGCTCATGAACCACATAGACGAGTACATCCTCCTTATAACGTCCACAACAGTACAGAAAGATAAACACTCAACGTTCACTGGCTCTTTAAAATAGTCCTCAAATTATCTTTGATGAAATTTTCGTTTCTTGAAAACCCTGAAAATAAAACAAAACACGGTCATCATCAACTGCTTAGGTTAGTCCTTCTGGGGTACACGCCTCCTCTACAGGAGTGGGTACCTAGCTTCACTGACGATCAGACTGACAGACTACTACTTGACGTTTCAAAAGTACCTATTTAAGGTTTAGTTGAAATTTTTTTATGGTATGAGTCGGCAAACGAGCAGACTGATTAACTGAATTGATTTTGATTTCAAATAATGATGACTGACTGACAGACTGACACTTTATATCTTTAAATTTGGTTTGAAGTTCAAAAGTGCGTGTAAGGGCCTTATTGAAATAAATGATTTTTGACTTTTGACAGGACTTGACTTTGGGTTTGCCAACATCGCCAGGCTTGTCAAAAATGTTTTATTTTGTAACTTAAAAATAACTGTGATTTAAATTTATTCACAGCGACACAAAGAAAGATGACTTACATAAGCTACTTAATTAATATCAAAGAAAACGTTAACTTAAAAAAATGTTGCCTCATTATTTGCTTATTTCATTTTAATTAACTAATTAAGAAGTTGTGAAATAATTGTTCATTCAATACATCATTATTTTGTATTTTTACAACTCATTAGACCGAATTTTTGTTCTTTTTTTAAAACCTAAAAAATAGTTATCACTGATGTTAAGCAGTTTAATGATGACTTTAAAGATTCTTTTCAAGCGTAGAAATTAACTTAGTTTTTTTACTGATTAATGAGCTTACTGGCTAGCGAATTGATTAAATCCTCAAAAGACAAATTTTAATATAAACTCATACACTTCACATTTAATTAACTTTGAGTGAGAATTTCAGTCCTCAAAATACACGATCTCTTTATTTATTTTTTAATTAGTTTATCAAAAATAAGTATGTAATTGTCTAAGTTAACGCATATTTAAGTTTTATATATCTAAATATTTTTGTAGGTCGTCCACGAACAATTTACATCAATTAAATTAAAATGAAACAAATGTCTTAATTAATTAAAAAAATAACAAATAAATTTTTCATTAATTAATGATAACCAAATAAGGAACCTGCTTGCTCATTATTGCCTAGTTCAAACGTCTTACTTTATCATTTATCCGCTAAAATAATTGAAAGTAGACTGAAATTGCTACTACTTATTACTTTTTTATTATATATATCTTCAACGAAACTTACACGCAAGATAATCTCGTAACTCCAGAATGTGTATATGTATATGAACACAAAAAATAATATTGAGAACTTTCCACTGGACTATGCACAGATAATAATAAATACGAGTGCGCGCACGTGTTTACCCAACCGCGAGTTCGTAGCACGGCGTAGCGGCAGCGTAGCGCCGACACTACGGCCCGTAGCCAACTGCCGTAACCCGTAGGTCGGCAGATTCGCGCATCCCCCGGGGCGGTTGCACTGAGCCACGTGAATTATTCCCTCCAATACCATGTACCGGTACAATTGCTGCTTGTTCACACAATATCCAATATCATTCCCTAACATAACCAGACATGTACGTTAAACTGAATTGAGCAGATTTCTGCATATGTGTGCGTAATGAAATAAAACAAGAGGGGCCATGTTAAAAGCAGCTGTCGGTTGCCGGATTACCTGGCTATTGTGTGTAGATAATATTTCTATTTGCTCTTGTTTGTAATACCCTATTTATATCACTTATCTCTATTGTTGTGCGGCTGTTGGAAGTTGGGAAATGATCATAAATATTATTTTAGGCCGCTATTATGAGCGCGATTTGCAATAAAAAGTAACTTACTGTATGAAAAAAAGTTGGTGAATTTACTAGACCTTCATTTCGACCTTCATAGAAAAGTGTAGAATTCGATAGATATTTTACATCTCCATAAATAATCGCTACGTATAGTGAATACTCTACAAAATGGACACGAACATTCACTGAATGGTACCGGGCACTCTTTATAAAATACCTTTTACTGTAAATGGAATTCACTTGTCCCCTGACATTCATACACACTACATCTACCGTCGTATTTCTCACGATGCAAATAGTCTTCAACTGGTATATTCAATTCTAATTAAAGCATGTTATTTGATCCCGAGCAATAAAAAACATGTAGTATAATCACATAAAGTAAAGCAGTCACGACCTTAATCCCCGGAGGACGAACCGACGAAAGAAGTAATTATTTACAAATAAGAATAATGTATTCAGAGAAGAAAAAAGAATCGAATAAATCTCGACTCCCCGACGAAAGGTATCTGGGGGCTTAAGCCTCGGACACACTACATTGCGAGGGAATTACCACCATAAAATGTGCCGGCGACTTGTTAAGTCATAAAAATAAGCACCTGACTAATGTTTTCGGTAAGTAATACCGTTTCACAGCTCGGGGAGCTGTAAACCCGGCCTATGGACAGTATTCGTTCAGAGAGAAAAAAGGGGATCAGTAAAACGTGATTTAGGTTTTTGTGTCTGTGTCATGTATTTCTAGTAGATCTTTATTCCATCTCGTGACGAAACTACACAGTTGTAAGTAAGCTAAGAATAAATAGTGGCGCTACCAACACTTGCTGTATCACCGTCTTAAAATAGCGATGGGGAGAGTATCGGGGAGCAGTCGGCGGACACATTAATTGGCAATTTCCTCGGCTCGCTGCCCTCCTCCCGCCCTCCGTGCATTACTCATCGGCACAAATATCTGATAATGATGTTCATTAGCCAGCCGCCCTTGATTATCCGTAAAACCTTGATACAATCCCACTAACATATGATGGGGTATCATAACTCAACTAAGCATGTCATGCATGCGATTTACCATGAGGTTGTAGGGATTTCGTGATAAAATTACAATAAAATTGTTTAATTGCAATAAATTTCTTTTTTTTAAGTCGTTATTCAGCAACATTGTTAATTACTTTCGCAATAAAACCTAGTCTGCACAATCGAAACAACTATTTTAAATTCACTCCAAAACAAACGAAGTGCAAAATGTGTTTAGACAGACTAGCGAGCAACATGACGTGTGTCAGCGCCTTAATGGTTTGCTATCAACAACTGAGCTTAAATTCCATTAGATATTTTTGCAACACAAAATGGCGGCTCGTCGACAACTTTGAAAATATTCGCCCCTTGAGACTAGAGTTTCGGCTCAACGCTTCCACTCGCAACAATGTTGCGCGAAAATTGTATAGAAGTAAAACGTACCACGATCTACTTAACATGAGGAAGTTTATGTGGCGGCCAGTAATCAGAAACTGCAGTATATTTCAATGCGGAGAACCAGGCTATGCTATAAAATCGTTTCTAATTTTATAAGGAGTATCAAATGTTATTTATTGCAGTATTTTAACTAGTATATCAAATAATATAAAATCTTTATGACGTAAATGAGATAAAATATTAAGTTTACCTCCTGACATGTAGAGAAAAGCATAATTCTCATGTTTACTTCCGAAAAGTTGAAAATTTATACCAAATTCACGCTCAGAAGTTGCAATAATAAAAACTAAGTATGTATAGTATAGTAAGTGTGAAAACTCGAGAAATTAAATTGCAAAATTAATGCAAAACATTAAAAATGATGTTCCATCTGATTATCACACCAACTTTCAGTCACCGCTCGTCCCCAAAGGAATAAAACCGCAGACGGTGCTAACATGTTTTGGTGAAAAAGCAATAATTATGCAAAAATATTCAACCGCAGTTAACATAAACTATAAATACGAATAGAAATACAAAGTTGTATTTTTTGGTGAATGTGAATCTAAACGACATGATTATACAACAGTTTTGTGCAAATTGGATTGGTGCAGATTTGAAATGTTACGGCGAAGACGTGCTTTTACGCTCGAGTCCGGCTGACCCGCGCGACCGATTCACAACACTCAATTTATGAAAAGATTATATTTGACGGCGACTGTAATCTTTTTAAAGTACGTCATTTGGAAAGGATCCAAGCCTTATTGAAGCAAGGGGTGAGCGATAACTGAATATTAGTTAAAAGCTCTGAAATATGTCTTTTGAAAATGTATTTCTTAGAATGTAAACTTAAAGATATGTGATTTATTTTGATGTTATCAAACGATGTGTCATAAAATTTATGATTCGTTTAGATGACAGACAATGTCACGAATAATTTTATTTACTAAATATGTTTTATAATAATATTTTATTTACTACATAAAAGTCCTAACAAAGAAAATCTAGGCTAGAGTATACATATAAAACGAGTCTAAACGTTAGAAGAGATTTAGCTCTCGCCGTATTTAGCGAAAGAATAAGTTATTCTGAGAGCAGATTCGCGTGGCTTCTGTCGAAACAACAAACAATTTACATATCTCAAGCGAAAGGTCGCTTTGATTGAATTTTATAAAAAAAAACTTCATTTATTTCATAAATATTTATTAGGTATTTTTCACCTTAATTTAACATTTGTTCAGAATTATTGTGAAAGGAGAGAGAACGCTTTAATTTTATTTCAAAATATATTTGTAGCTAACACGAGCCTAAAGTTAGGGTCCACATATTAGGTACCATAACTCGAAATGAACAACTATGTTGTATGCATCAATAAAATTGTTCCAAGAATTTTATTGTTTTTTTAAACATTTAGAACTTTGCTATTGAATTACGTATGAAGTTATATGTACTTACTTAACGTATGTACATAAAACACTTAGTAAGAAAGCCAATCAAACAAAATGTAATATTAATATTGTAAAAAGTTTACCGCCAACAATTTCATAAAATAGAGAGCCAAAAACTGTTTCATCGGTTCAATTAAAAGTTTGTCGTGAAGCCGGCGGCGTCAGGGGCGCATAATTACGGGTGTCAGTCACGGAGTAGGCGGCAGGCAATGGCAGGCCCCTGCAAGAACCGCCGGGTCCCGCAGCCAGTCGCAGGCCCCGGCAGACAGCCGCAGC